TTGGCTCCTTGGCTTCCTGCTCACTCACCCTGAGGCCATGGAGGCAGTTAAATCAGAGATCAGAGGCCTTACTCTGCAGGACACTTCCCTACAGAGGCCCCCCATCAACCTGCTGGAAGCACACAGCACACCTGTGCTCGGTACGTAACGCCTGCTAGCTGCTCCTTTTCACTTCCTCACGCCTTTACCTTGGGGTCGAGCCAGTCCACTGAGGTTCAATTCAAACAATGGCCTATTTAAATTGTTGTCGTCAGGAACAAGAAGATAAGTGCATCAGTCTGAAACATTCACAATGACACAGTGACAATTAAAGTTTGATGTGGGATTCAATTAAATAATGATTTCCATATATATTTATGTCGGGGAAATGTTTGTGCCTCTCTAAATTAAGCCCGAGGGCTTCGCTGATATAACTCTCGCTGACACCCCTCTGACATCATCCCCTCGGCTGTCCTCTCCGTTCTACAGATAGCGTTCTGAGCGAGACCCTGCGACTCACGGCTGCGGTGATGATCCGCAGAGAAGTAGTGCATGGCAAAGTCCTGCAGATGGCCAACGGACAGGAGTACCACCTCAGAAAGGGGGACATTGTGTGTCTGTTCCCCTTCCTCAGCCCTCAAATGGACCCGCAGATACACCAAGAACCACAGGTGATTTTGTGTGACAGAGACCGCATTAACAACATCAACATGTAAAACTGTTCTTGTGATAAGTGCATGAGATGTAACACTTTAGGAGCCTTAACAGTCATGATACATATAGCTGTTTACCTTCATTGTGTATTTTAAAACCATATTGTACTTCACAAAGCAGTATTGAGGAGGCAGGATTAAGCAGACAGAATACATCCTTTGGGATTAGCTGCTAAATGCCTACAAATGAAACAAGTAGGAGTTGACTAGCAAGAGAGAGAGAGATCAACTCCCAATGTTCCTCACATGATTTATCTTGAACGGTTAGGTGATAATTAAATACCATTTGTAGCAAAAGATAGAGAGCAGGATATATACGGTCAATGTGCATGATAGTAGAATGCACACATCTGATGCCTTTATGTTTTTTTCTTGTCTCGTCTAAACAGATTTTCAAGTACGATCGCTTCTTAACTGATAGGAAAATGAAGGATACATTCTACAAAGACGGAAAAAGGCTGAAGTACTACACCATGCCCTGGGGTGCAGGGAGCAACATCTGTGTTGGGAAAGAGTTTGCTGCGACGGCCATTAAACAGTGAGTGTAAAAATCCTACGCCTTTTTTTTCTTTTTCAATTTCATTTTGTCCATGGTGTAACTTAAGTTTAAAAGAATGATAAATCCCTGATCAAAGCATTTCCTGCAATTTCACCCCAATTACCAGACTGGCAAAAATCCATCTCTACATAACATTCCCCCTTATTACCATGTACATCCTGCTTTCATGACCTCGATCATTAGCAACTAGCTATATGGTAATTGCTTATACTTTGCAATGAACTATATGAAAACAGCTAAGGATAATTAGCAGTCAGTCGGGACAGTGTGTGTCTGTCAGACATCATATCCAGTTGGTTAAGGGTTAATCATACCATTACGTTTACTACTGGTAATCCTCAACAATCGCAAAGGGGAATGGGTTAGTTGATGTGTAAACTGGGAATATTTCAGAAATAGGTCATTTTGAGGCTGTTTGCTGTTAATTTCTTGAATTGATTTTCCCATAATAAATGCACTAAATGTTGAAAAACTAACATTCATTTTGTCTAACAATCCTGTCTACCAGTGGATGGTTTAACACTTGTTCTAATCTGCTGTTGCCTGTTTTTTCTAGGTTTGTCATCTTGCTCTTGACCCATCTGGATCTGGAGATGTGTGACCCAGAGGACAAACTGCCACCAGTCAATACGAGCCGCTACGGCTTCGGGATGCTGCAGCCGGACGGAGACCTGCAGGTCCGGCACCGACTAAAGAACACACAAAATGAAATTTGACTTGATGATTTGATTAATTGTAAATAACTGTGTTGAGCTTTTGATTATGCGTAATGTAGCACTATTTATTCAGCGTTTTATTCACTGACTGCATATTTTAAATTGTTTGTTATTAATATTTTCAATAAAAAGTAAACCTGACATACTTTTCATTTTCAATTATTCTTCCATACACTCTATGCTTCATTCAAACCTATGTTTAGCTTGTTGTTTTATTTCACTTGGATGCTTAGACAATGCACATATGGATTTGTCACAACTACTTTGGGAGCTCCATGGTCTAGTTTGCAAATTACAGAAATTGAAAACCGTCCAACTCACTATCTGGAAGTAGACCTGAAGGGTAAGTGAAGTATAGGAGATCTCATGTTTCCTACTGTACGTCCCTAGATATGCCTCGATCAATATGTTGTTAATCAATGCTCTATACGGTCTAACTCAGGGGTCTGCAACCTTTTTGACCAAAAGAGCCATTTTGCTCCTTTTTCCCAAAAAATGTTTTGTCTGGAGCCGCAAAACATTATTTCATAGCTTGATAGCTTATAAAGTTTTTTGCATTTATTAGGCTATTTATTACATTATATAAAACTGTTAACCTCTAATAAGAAACAAAGAACTCCTATAAGGAGAATTAAA